CGTGCGAGAGCTTTTCGGTCTGTAATGGACCATTTTACCCTTTGTTGTGCCACTGTTCAGAGCTTGTAAAGTCTGTTTGTAATTTGTATTGTCTATGAAGTGTTTTTCGGACATGTTTGCTTGTGGATCCCAATTGAGGCGTTCTCTTTTGCTTGTTCTCTCTTTTGTTGGTCCTAAGGGACAATGGGAGTCTTCGGGGAGGCTGACCTTTGCGGACGGACACGCAAGGGTGCCGCACGACTTAGGCAAAACCAGCTAAGTCCGTGTCAATAAGGAGCATTAATAAGATCATTTAGTCATACGTTGGTTGAGTATGAGAATCAAGGGCTCATAAGTCCGTCGGATCTCCTTTACCCTCAAATGTGCTTTTTGAAGCTCGCATGCTTCCAAAAGACAAAACTGTATAGGATACGCCTATCGTCCAAAGCGGATAATTTCTTATGAACCTATAAGTCATACTAATGATCGATCGATCAAATGATCTCTCTTATCAAAGGGGATTTATCCGTGAATTAAATGGACAAAACTTTCGACTTCACCAACGTACGATTTAATCTCCCATCCACTATATCGAAGGTAATTTTTATCGGTAAAATTCAATCTCTCATTCACTATATATATCAAAGGCATTCACGAAGGTACGTTTCAATCTCTCAAAGGTATTCAGAATTGTTATCGTGCTCAATTTCCTAATCGGGCCAAAACTCAAGATTTCAAACACAAAATAATCTAAAATATAGAATTAATAGTTCATGAACGCACACAACGCTAGCAAAATATTATTATTTTTTTCTCTTTATTTATACCAGTTTGGTACCACGGTAAGAGCTAGCATTGTACACTATGCTGTTCTTTCTATCCACTCTATATAATGATCATATGGATCAACAACTGACTCCTATTGCTATTTATTATATAGCTAGATTTGTACATCAACAACATAATACAAGTGAATCTAATGATAAATTGTTAGGACGTTAAACATTGAAATTTAGTGCAATTGTTAGGAGATTATACTCTTTTTAGGAAGGACTTAATATTACCGTCGAGGAAGGATAAATTAACATGCAAAAGTATGCCTCCAGATGTATTTATGTATGTTCACTACTCACCCGTCTCCGACGGCGATAATTTAGGGGCCACCAACTTTTTCCTCAACTAAAGCTACCTCTCAAAGTGTCTCTCGTAACTCTCGCAAACCAATCACATACTAACATCAGTTGATAATAGAACAAAAATAAGCGAAGAAGAAGAATAATGAACTTTTCGAACAGTTGTTGTTTTATTAGGTGGTACTATTTATTTGGTAACTTATAAAAAAATTTAAATAAATAAAATAAAAGTTATTTAAAAATAATATTATTTAAACTTTTAAAAAATATTTTACACATGCATATGAATTTTATAAAAAATTAATAAATATAATAATACTATATTAAATCTAACTATCAATACAAATCATGATTATTTATATTATTAATATCATGCTTTCTTTTATATATCATAGTACTGTTAGACCTTCCTAATACAGTCCAAAACACGATATTGGATGATCGTTCATTGCACAACTATGGGCAACGTGTAAGTAATGGATGATCGCTACACCGTCGACGAGGACTCGCGTACGCATCGTGGAACGCAATAATGACGACCTTAGAGTTCTTTTTTTTATTAACCACAAGGATATTTTTATCCTTCGGAATCAAATAATTCTAATTTATGTCTTTAGTTCATTTTTATTTTTACTCTTTAAAAATTAATTATTTCTAACTTATGCTCCTAACTATAAAATTACTATTATGCTGTCATGAAATTGATTATTTTTTATAATATCCTTTGTTTATAATTTTCCTTTTTGATTTGATAACATTAGATTCGCTACCATAATTTGATAATAATAAATTATCATAAAATTTGATGAATATTTTTATCAAAATTAAATAGAAAATAAGTTATAGATATTTTATTTTTATTCATGTGATATAATTTATTATTGTTAAATTTAACTACTTATGTTATTTAGATATTTTAATTATTATCTTAGATATTTATGTGGTTATTAAATACATGAAAATGAAAGAAAAATTATGAAATGATAATTATTTTTCACATAAAAGGCATTATTCATGTATACCATGATTACATTTATCATTTGAGCTTTTTTTTCTAATTAATATTTTATAATTAATATTTAATAATTATTATAATTATTATTTTATTAATCTTGAATTGTTTAAATGTAAATAAAATTAAAAAACTTGATGAATATCATTTGTAACTTACATATCTATGTTTTATTCAATTAATAGCTACAAAAATAGCTTAAGATGATAGACTTATCAAATATGAATTATAATAAGTATTTTATTATTTATAAGATATTTTTAAATTATATTTTATATTATTATATTAGTCTTAAGCCATCAAAGTAGTCTAGACTAATAACTTATAAAATTTATTAAGAAATTAGCCCTAAATGATATTAAAAAAATAATATTCATAATAACATACATAATTAGGAGATTTAGATAATTTAAGATGAGAATCTACTTCCAATAATTATATAATTAATAAGAAAACTTGATTTTATAGCATGTTTTGAGGTCCCTAATCAAACCTTATGACTGTGAAATTTTATCTTAAGACTTGGTATTGTCATATTTAATTGCTAAGTTGATGAAGATATTTGTGACATATCATAATTGTTTTTTCTCTAAGAATAACAAGTACATTAGTAATTCTATAAATCATGGTATAAAATATTTGTTGGTTAGAAAAAATAGTTCAAAAATAATTAATATAAATTAAGAACTTTAGATTAATGTCTTATATATTATAAAGTATTTGAAAGAATATATTTATTAGATTTATGAGTAACTCATAAAAGATATAATAATATACATCTGAATGAATATTATTATTAATATTATTATTAAAATTATTTATTTTTACTATCCTATTCATATATATATATATATATATATATATATATATATATATATATATATTATAGTTGAATGTATATAATATAATTATCTTAATAATAGTGTTGTGATACATATAGAAGTAAATATTATATTGATAACATACAATCAATTTAACTTATGTTGCACTTAACATAACATTATTATATTTATTAAACTTATTAATGTATTTTATAAAATTCATAGGCACATATAAAATAACTTTTTAAATTTTAGAATCCAATTAAGTAAGATTATTTTTAGAGAACTTTTATTTTTTTATTTTAATTTTAAATTCTTTCATATCTTACTAATCAATGGATAAAGTGAGAGAATGTTAGATTATATGATCTATTTAATTAAACAAAATATATTATAAATTTGATTATATTCTTATTATAATTATCAACTAATAGAAATAAAACTCAATTATGATAAGATTTCTTGCGAGATAATCATGATGTGAAAGACTCTCCTAATTATTTATCATACATCATTTGATCTTGAGAACTTTCTAGGGACTTAATATGTTTTGGGATGTGAAAGAAAAAACTCATTAGTTGAATTGATTCAAAGAATATGATAATATTATCATATTATTTATTGGTTTACATAATCCATCGTAATCTTTTCGGAGTTTGAGTATTATTGACTAAAAAAAACCTTCTTCAACCTTAATCAAGATTATGTATGTATGTCCATACTCAATAAGTGCGCGATGTGCTTCATACTTATATGTTTGGGTGGGAGCTTGAGTTTAATCTATGTCCATACTCAATAAGTGCGCGATGTGCTTCATACTTGTATTTTGAAATCTATGAGTTTATATCTTTGGGTGGGAGATCATCATGCTTGTATTTTCTACCATTTGAGTTTTTGAAAGTCAATCATATAAGATGCACTTCCTTTATAAGCATAGTAATGTAACACTGTATTGCTTCGGAACATGATATCGAGACATTATAAACTTTTTCTCTATCACGTGATGTAAAATTATACGGAGATATTATAATTTTTTTATTTTTTATTATTTCATATTCTAATTTTATTAGTCCTCGATAGAAAAAAATTTATATGAGTATAATTCTCTTCGATATTTCTTTCTTTTAAATTATATGAAAAGGTCTCTGAGAGAGAGAGAGAGAGAGAGAGAGATCCTTATGTTTCTCTCACATCTTTATGGGTCCTATTTATGGGCCGAGGCGTTTCGGATTTGACGAATGACCCAAACTGGAAGCCCAATAAATGACATGATATGATTAATAATAATCTTGGCAAACAAACACGACCTACCAAATGGCCACATCTCTATCAGCTTATCATGCACTAAGTAGGTTCTTCTCCTCTCCCCTGCAAATCATGTTCATTCGGAGCAGTATGATGCAAAACACGGTCACACATTCACGACTATAATAATCGTCTAAGCTTCCCCACTTCTTACTTCAAAGAATAGAAAATTATAAGGTCTGATTGATAATAAAAAAAAAAAAAAAGCCTTTGAGAGGAGACAAAGCCTGAGAAATGCTTCCAAGGATCTGAGCTTTGAGCAGCTCAAATTATTCAGGCTGGATTCTGATTCCACAGAACAACCAAATGAAAATAAAATACACGAACAAAACCTC